TCCAGAGTAAAGATATATCTCCAAAGTAAAGATATATCTCCAGAGTAACGATATATCTCCAGAGTAAAGTATATCTCCAAAGTAAAGATATATCTCCAGAGTAAAGATATATCTCCAGAGTAAAGTATATCTCCAAAGTAAAGATATATTTCCAGAGTAAATTAATATCTCCAGAGTAAATAAATATCTCCAGAGTAACGACTTAGAATGTGTTCTTGATAATAAGAACGCGCGTTCCTGATTTTAACGTTCTTTTCAAGCAATTTCCGTTCCGTTCCGTTCTTTTACTACTCGTTCCAATATTTTTAAAAACGGATTCTATGGGTTCGTTCTTTTTCTCGGAAGGATGTGATCGTTCTTGATAGTTCCGTTTGTTCTTGTGAAAGAACTATCGTTCCCAGGAATGACGCTCAGCAATACCTGTTGTGTTCCAAAGGTAAGGGTGTGTGTGAATTTGTGTATCTGTTGTCATTTGTTTGTTGCTTAGAGACCAAACCTTCTCTGTAACCATATATCTACTTCTCCGGAAATTATATTCCAGAGTAAAGATATAACTCCAAAGTAAAGAATATCTCCAAAGTAAAGATATATCTCCCGAGTAAAGAATATCTCAAAAGTAAAGATATATCTCCAACGTAAAGATATATCTCTGGAGTAAATCTCCAGAGTAAAGATATATCTCCAGAGTAAAGATATATCTCCAGAGTAAATATATATCTCCAGAGTAACGATATATCTCCAGAGTAAATATATATCTCCAGAGTAACGATATATCTCCAGAGTAAAGTATATCTCCAATTTCGTAATTGATTATTTTTTCTTTAGAAATAGATTTTGATCACAGAATTTGAAGAAATAGATTTGAAAATGTATATTCTTTTCTGTTTTAAACTTCATTAAAACATAATGATAGAACAAAAAGATCTTCGAAAAATTATGCATACAAATCTGTACCAAATCTTAGAAAATAAAGCATAAAAAATCCCCCATATCAAGTATTATATGTTTAAATAGAATTTGAGAAAGTTTCATTAATTGCCACCAATTGTATGGTAACATTTGAAGCAGATTTTTATCCCGACTTAGAATGTGTTCTTGATAATAAAAACGCGCGTTCCTGATTTTAACGTTCTTTTCAAGCAATTTCCGTTCCGTTCTGTTCTTTTACTACTCGTTCCAATATTTTTAAGAACGGGATTCTATAGGTTCGTTCATTTTCTCGGAAGGATGGGATCGTTCTTGATCGTTCCGTTTATTCTTGTGAAATAACTATCGTTCCCCAGGAATGACGCCCAGCAATACCTGTGTGAATTTGTGTATGTTGTCATTTGTTTGTTGCTTAGAGACCAAACCTTCTCTATAAATATATATATCTACTTCTCCGGAAATTATATTCCAGAGTTAAGATATATCTCCAGAGTGAAGTATATCTCCAAAGTAAAGATATATCTCCAGAATAAATTATATCTTCAGAGTAAAGATATATCTCCAGAGTAAAGATATATCTCCAGAGTAAAGAATATCTCCTAAGTAAAGATATATCTCCAAAGTAAAGATATATCTCTAGAGAAAATATATATCTCCAGAGTAACGAAATATCTCCAGAGTAAAGTAAATCTCCAGTGTAAAGATATGTGTCCAGAGTAAAGATATATATCCAGAATAAAGTATATCTATAGAGTAAAGATATATCTCCAGAGTAAAGTATATCTCCAAAGTAAAGATATATTTCCAGAGTAAATTAATATCTCCAGAGTAAATAAATATCTCCAGAGTAACGATATATCTCCAGAGTAACGATATATCTCCGGAGTAACGATATATCTCCAGA